AGCCAGCGAGAGTTGAGAAGTGCCTCATCCACGGCCGCGACCTTCGGCAAACGTCTTATCCGTGATCACGGCCCGATGGAGTGATACCGTGGTCTGCAACCGCTTTCCGTAGAAAGTGTGCGACGACGCCGATCGTCTCGTGACTCACAATGGCGTGCGCCACAGGTATTCCCCATCCATAGACGCTTTCGACCACCACGCTAATCAAAGGGTGGTCGTACATGTTTGTGCCATGTGTTGAGTCAAGAAAAATGCCACGATGCCCACACTCCTAAGAAAACACAGAACAAGCATGCATGGGAAGTGATGACGAGACGCTTACCATTAGCCACGTGCACAAGGCTGGCGACACACTGCAGTATTGACACGCCAACACGACACGAGTCAACAGAGTGCCCCATGTGTTGCAAGGCGGTGCACGTCATTGATCTTGCATGCAAGCATGCAAGACGCGAGCACGGCACTCAGCACCACACCTTGAGCACGCGTCGCTGCCACTCAGTCTGCACAAGGATGAACAGTGACTCTTGCGGGAAATCGCCTGAAGCGCGCTGTTCGGGCCCGCCAAACTCAAACGCCTCCTGACCTTGAAGCTTCAAGGCTGTGATGACCGGGGTATGCTCACCAGCCTCCTTGTTGTAGATTTGTGCAGCGTACCACACAGAAGCGGCGTCATCCGCATCAAAGCGCCCAGGCTCGTACTCCTGAGCAACTTTGTAGACATGCGCTTGCTTGAAAATGCTAGTCACGCAAGCACGACAAAGACGGTAAGAACGTGCACTGACACACAAGCACACGCAAGGCAGAGAACACACACACACACACAAAAAAACACACACACACACGCACACTCGTTCACTCACTCACTCACTCACTCACGCGCGCACTCACACTCACACACACACAGAGACACCGCATCGATCTAACCTGATACGTGGATGCGAGGAAAAGGTCGCCTTCACCTGATGATAAATGGCCGTGTAAGACGCCGAGACACGAAGGAGACGTGCCACTTCTGCACGAAACACGCCTGGCAGCTGTAGGTGACGCAGGTCCTTCGAGTGTGAATGGTAGTTGAACATCACCACCCGCACTCGCCCGCCCTTGCAAACCTGCCCCCACATCATTGCTGGACAACACCCAACAGGTTTTGGCGCCTTTGCACGGTGAGCGCGGATTGTGCCCTGATATGGTCGCTCATTGCCATGCCGAGAGCACGTCCGGACGAATTCTTCTTCCACCTGTACATGTTCGAGGCCCCACGCGGCAGCTTTTGGTGGGAAGCAGCAGGTGTGGTCACGCTTGACGTAATCGGCGAGGGCAAAGTCGTCACACTCTGCCGCGGCGATGCACGACTCGAACCTGCTCCACGAGGCGTAGTAGCGCACGACACAACCTGCAACGAACGACGTCGGGCAGGAGAGACATTGCTGATGAGAAACACAGGATCGGAGACAACAGGCAGGCCACAATCAAATACTCACATGAGGCGTCGTGATCCGTGATAACATGCTGCATGAGTTCCTTCGCGGTACAAAACGCAGCATCTGCGCAACCGCTCCGGCACTGAAAATGACCACGCGCCTGGCATATAGGGCAGAGCGCCGCTGGTGAGTAACACACGCACATACACACACAAAAGAGCGCAGACACACGCACGCATAAACACACACACACACGCTGCAAGCGTGTACAATCACCACCAGATTCTGACCTTCTGTTTTCCGTGGTCGCGTAGTTGGTGCCTGGAGAGCGCCTGTCTGCTGCTGAAGGTCTGTGTACATGTGTTCTCGGGGCATGGGTACACAATGGCAACCTCGTTGCTGTTATTCTTGAACGTTTGCAGAAGGTCAGCAACGTCAGCACCTTTGTGCGACGTGCAGATGTGACGCTTGGCAGAGTCGAAACGAGTGAAGCGGGCGCTACAGCCAGACGCTGGGCACTCGAAAGGTTTCGTGTCTAGTGAAATCGCCGACAAGTGGCGTGAGCACACACGAGCGCAAACACACACACACACATACACACACACACACACACACACACACACAAGAGCGCACTCACACGAGAGTGCACACACACACAAGAGCGCACACACGGAGTGTTGTTTCGTACCCGGGGTGACGACATGTGCCTGGTGTTGTTGTGTCGTCGCAGCTGTGACTTCTGACCCAGTCCCTGGGATACACACACATGCGCATGCAGCTAACCATGAACAGACATGCACACAAGAGCGCACAAGCACACACGCACACACAGGCGCACACGGAGTGTTGTTTCGTACCCGGGGTGGCGACAGTTGCCTGGTGCTGTTGCGCCGTGGCTGTGACTTGTGACACAGTCCCTGGGATACACACATGCACATGCAGCTAGTCCCTGGGATAACACACATGCACATGCAGCTAACCATGAACACACACACAAGAACGCGCACACACACACAAGACCGCACACACAGGCGCCACACGGGAGTGCTCATTCATACCCGGGCGTGGCCACGGATAGTTGCCTGGTGTTGGGGTTGCCGCCGTGGGCCTGGTGACTTTGTGACTTCGCAGTTGTCCCTTCGGATACACACCCACACACACATGCGCATGCAGCTAACCATGAACAGACACACACACACACACAAGAGCACACACACACACACACACACACACACACACACACAGTGTTGTTTCGTACCCGGGGTGGCGACAGTTGCCTGGTGCTGTTGCGCCGTGGCTGTGACTTGTGACACAGTCCCTGGGATACACACATGCACATGCAGCTAACCATGAACACACACACAAGAGCGCGCACACACACACGCACACACAGGCGCACACGGAGTGTTGTTTCGTACCCGGGGTGGCGATAGTTGCCTGGTGTTGTTGCGCCGTGGCTGTGACTTGTGACTAAACTTCATACACCCCAGCTACAGCTATCCATGAACACACACACACACGCATGCACATACGCACGCGCACACACACACACACACACACACACACACACACACACACACACACACGCACGCACGCACACACACACACACACACACACACACACACACACAAGAGCGCACATACACAAGAGCGCAAACACATGCACAAGCACACACACACACACACGCAAGAGCGCAAACACACGCACACGCACGCACAGGCGCACACATAATCACTGAGAGATACGCACACAGAGACTCATGCACATACGGACACAGGCAGGATGGGGCCATTGCGCACCGTGTGTGTCATTGGCGGATTCGTCGGGCAGAGGCAGTAACTCTTCAGTGATGCGGTCGCGGACAGACGAAAGAGGAGGTCCTGGTGGTTGTTGTGTGAAGTCAAGCGATCATGTGAGAGACAGCCAAGCAGGGGAAGACCTGAACACCACATGACGGCTGTTGGTTGTGGGCAAGAGACGTGGGGATGACAAGTGCGCACCGAGGGTATCGACCAAGTCTTCAGGAGAGATTTGATCGGGAGTGGTGTGGATGGATGCCATCGTTGGAGTGGGGAGGGGTTGGTGGGTGAGGGCAGTGGGGTTGTGCAGTGTGGTGGGGAGGACGGGGTCGTTGCAAAAATGTTTTTTTGGGTCAGACACGTTTTTCAACAGGGAGAATATTGGGTGTGTGGTGGGGAGCAATCTCAGGAGCGGTGAGTGGGCCACCGGGAATGCTCTTGGGGATGTCTCAAAACTCCCACTTTGCCTGTGAGAGCTTGCTGTGGATTTGTGGGTGCTACACTTTATCGTGTCGTATATAGATTCGCACGTGGCGATATGGTTGGCAAACCCAAACAGCGTGCGCAGCCAAACCTGCACCGTGCCCAGCGGGCTGTGCTGCATCTGATTGGGGAGGGCAAGCGAGCAAAGGGTGGTGATCGGGATGACGAGGCTCCCACGGCTTCTGCTGCTGCTGCAACTGCAGTGGCTGGGGCCTCTGACAAAGCAAGGAGAAAGAAGAAAAACAACCCAAGAACCGGCTCAAGCAGCGCGTGCGTGTGTGTGCGTTTGAGTGTGTGAATGTGAATGTGTGTGTGTGTGTGTGTGTGTGTGTGTGTGTGTGCGTTTGTGCGTATGCGAGAGTGTGTGTACACTTGTGTGTACGTACACTTGTGTGTGTGTGTGTGTGTCTGTCTGTCTGTGTACACTTGTGTGTGGCCGCGTGGTGTCCTCCCTTTAACTTGATCCCAACACTGATCTCACACCCTGTTTCCCGCGCCGCGTTTGTTCTGCAGGCTGGCTGGCATTCGGTCTCGGAAGGAACAACGCAAACAGAAGCGTCTCTTGCTGAAACAGGTGCAGGGGCATGTGCATGTGCGTGGCTGGTGCTTTCCTGGTGCAGCTGGTACCGCAGTGTGCACGGTGTTGTTGCCTTCTGCTTAACTTGTATTTCGAGCGAGCTGTTTACACGGAGGTGTGGGTTGTGCATTTATTTTGAAGCGACACGCGGTCAAGCCGAAGCAGGACGGAGTGAAGCAAGACAGCAGCACCAGCAAGAAGAAAAAGAAGAAGAACAAGAAAAAGAAAAAGAAGACCCAGCAACAGCACGACAGCGAGGGTGGAGCTGACAAGCGAACGACACGACACAGCGATGCCGACCTTGGCGACGACAACCCCGCAAAGCGAGCAAGTGAGCACTCGTTGACTGGCGTCGTGCATTTTTGCTGAGCAAGTCTCCCGTCCATATTATTGCTCACTACAAGACATGGACGTATGTGTGTGTGCATGTTTGTGTCTGTGTGTTTGCATGTTTGTGTCTGTGTGTGTGCATGTTTGTGTCTGTGTGTGTGTGTGTGTGTGTGTGTCTGTGTGTACCTGCGTGCCTGCTACAGAAATGAATCCGCATCGAGAGGCCCTTCTTGAGCGATTGCAAGCTGCTGGTCTCATTGGTTCCAACCCAGAAGGTACAACATCACGCGTGCCCACGTAGCTGTGCAATGGATTACAGTACAGCTTGTTGCATGTCCTCGTGCGCGATCTTGCGTCGCTCTGATTCTCCCTACATCCCCATATCCCTCATATCCGTCTATTATTCCCCGTGCTACGATGTCCCTTTGCAGATGAGAATGATGAGGACGACAAGACAATTCGCGAGATGGAGAGGAGGCTCGGTGTCAAGAACAACAAAGGTGTGCGTTTTGTGCGTGTGTGCGTTTGTGTGTGTGTGTGTGTGTGTGTGTGTGCGTGTTTGTACGTTGGCGTGCCTGTTTGTTTCTCTGTGTGCACGTGTGTATAGCTGAAAAAAAGTCACGCGGTGCGAGTATGAGGTACTGAGAGTGTCAACTCACCACCATCACCACCATCACCACAACCATCACCACAATCATCACCACAATCATCACCACCACGACTGCTGCTGGCGTTCGTATGTGCAGCTGCGACTGCGTTTTCCAAGGATGATCCCCTGCGTGATCTGTTCCAGTTTGCAGACAAACTCACGGACGAGGTTGGAGATGGTGATGGCGATGATGACGACGCGTTATTGGACGACAACGGTGATGATGGTGATGATGATGATGGTGGTGTTGATTTGGATGAGCTGGAAGGGCTGGAAGGGCTGGAGGGTATTGATGATGAGGACGTGGAGCTGTTGGACGAGGAAGATGATAGTGGTGATCATGGTGATGGTGATGGTAATGATGATGATGATGATGATGATGATGCCAACAGCAGCGATGGTGAAGGCACTGGCGTGTCAACAGTCGTCAAGACAGACATCTACGGGCGACCGCTGGGCGAAGCATCCAACAGCAGCAGCGGTGGTGGAGGTGGAGGGAAGTACATTCCACCTGCACTGCGCCGCAAGATGCTCGCCACCGACGATGACGACAAAGGACAGCTTGGCAGACTCCTGCGGGGGCTCCTCAACAGGTGCTGCTGGTGGCGGTGGTGATGGTGATGATGGTGGTGGGATGATGATGATGGTGGTGTTGTTTGTGTGGTGAAATAGAAATGCATGCGACTGCTGAAGTCAGCCTTGTCATCACCATCATCACCATTGTCAACCTCTCACTCCTGACAATCTCGCCCAACCATCACCATCCACCACCATTATCACCACCACCACCACCACCACCATCGCCACCATCACCACCATCACCACCATCACCACCATCACCACCATCGTGGCCGCTGCAGGCTGAACGACTCCAACCTTGCGCCCCTGGTTGCGCAGATTGCGGATGTGTTTCGCTCCAACAGCAGAAATCGCGCGTGCGGCGTCATCGCTCGATTTGTCATTGACGCCTGCGTTCGCCAGGGTGTGTTACATTGTGTCGTGTTGCGTTGTGTTGTGTTGCGTTGTGTTGTGCTGTGTTGCGTTGCGTTGTGTTGTGTTGTGTTGTGTTGCGTTGTGTTGTGTTGTGTTGTGTTGTGTTGTGTTGTTGTGTTGTGTTGTTGTGTGCGGCATCACGTTGCACGTGCCTATCCGCACCACAACCATCCCCTCGTCACCACCACCACCACCTCCTCCTCCTCCTCCTCCTTTTCACCACCTCCTCCTCACCACCACCTCCTCCTCACCACCACCATCACCACTACCTCCACCACCATCACCACCACCACCATCATGCCCGCTATCAGACCGGACGTTGGCGCATCTCCTGCGCGTGTACGCCGCGACCATCGCTGCCCTCCACTCCATCATCGGCATGGAGGTCTGCCCTGCACCGTGAACTTGTGCATATGTGTGTTGCGTGTGTGTGCATATGTGTGTGCATGTCATGTGTGTTTGTTTTTGCCTGTGTGTGTGTGTGTGTGGTGCGTGTGCGTGTTGCCTACGATCGTCAAACGCTTTTCTCTCGCCTCTCCATATGACCACGTTGCCATCTGGAACACACACACACACCCACTCCCTTCTTCCCCCCTCACCCTCACCTCTGCTCTCCTTTCCTCCTCTTCGTTTCTTTCCTTCTTTCTTCCTCGTCTTCTCTCCCCATATACATCAGGTGACGGCCATGTTTCTGCAGTCTGCAATTGACAAGTTCAACGAGCTGTACAAGCAGCAGCAGAAGAAACTCAGCAACATCGTCGAAGGTACGCACGATCACAAATGTGTGTGTGTGTGTGTGTGCGTGTGTGTTTGTGTGTGTGTGTGCGTGTGTGTGTGGGGGTGGGGGGTGGGTGTGCACCTGTGTGCTATCGCGGTCCACGCCATTTGTGGGATCGGCAGTCCACCATCACAGCGCACACACACCCAAGCACACCCAAGCACACCCGAGCCATCACATAACGTCATCACATCATCACGACAACAACAACAACAACAACAACAACCACGACGTGCAGACTCGAATGTGACTGCTGAAGAAATTGATGCGACACTGGACAAACGGGCCATCAACATTGCATCGCTCATTGCTCTCCTGTATCACTTCAACGCCGTCGACGCGTCATTCATCTTCGACCTCCTCAAGTCAGTGCCATTTGGGGGTGGGGGAGCATGTGGTGGCATCAAAGCGTGGTGTGTGTGCGTGTGTGTCTGCGTGCGTGTGTGTGTATGTGCGTGCGTGTGTGTGTTCGTGTGTGTGTGTGTGTCGCTGCTGGTGAAAAGATGTTTGACTCGGCATTCACACTTCTAACTCCTGTTTGCGCGCGCACACACACACACACATACACACCCTCTCATCCACTGCGCGCAGCATGTTCATGGGCGAGGGCGGGATGAGTGCGCTCGACATTGAGCTGATCCTGGAGGTGTTGCGGACGTGCGGTGCGAAGATGCGACACGAGGAGTCGCTCCATCTCCGCAACATTCTCCACGACATCAAGACGCGCGCCGCGGAGACCATAGGCACCACCACGTGAGGCTTGTTCTTGTGTTTGTGTTGTGTTGTGTTGTGTTGTGTTGTGTTGTTCTTGTGGTGTGGTGTGTGTTTGTTTATTTGCGTAATGTGTACATTTGTCTGTGCGTCTCTCGCCCTCACACACACTCGCGCATACTCACGGAAACGCGTCATCGTGTATGCAGATCACGCGTAAAGTTTATGCTGGAAGGGATTCAGGACTTGCAGGCGAAGAAGTGGCTGATCCTGAAGGACAACAGGGAACAGCTCAAACCACTCGTGCTGGTGAGGATCAACGTGTGCGTGTGTGTGTACGTGTGTAATGTGTGCAGAACAATAGGTCATGGATGATTCCTGACTTCCCTTCACACTTACACACTCACACACTCACACACACTTACACACACACTCACTCACTCACTCACACACTTACACACACTCACTCACTCACACACTTACACACACTCACACACACACACACACACACACACACTTACGCAATCCCCCCCCAAAAAAACCACCACCGCCGCCACCAGGCGCTGCGGAGTTGTCTGCGGGTGCAGAGGGCGACTGCTGCCGATCCGCTCAAAGTTCCGCTGAAAGACGTGCTGGAGGCAGACACACGAGGTGATACATGATGGCGGTGGCACATGGTGATGGGCAGGATGGCGGTGGTGATTGTGGTGGCCCTTGTGACGATTTGCGTGTAGTTTTCTGTTGTAGTGCGTGCACAGTGCACCGTGTGTGGTGTAGCTGTATGTCAGCTTTTCAATTCGGTCGTGTGCTCGTGTTGACAAGTTCAGCCTGCCCTCGTTGTCCTCGTCACGCCCTGACAATGCCCGTTCGTGTTCCTGTCCTGCGTCATGTTGTGCCGTGTTGCTGCAGGCCGCTGGTGGCTCGTTGGTGCTGCATGGCACGGCCGAAACGACAGCACATCATCATCAACCAAGGGCAACAGTGGCCGCCATGCTGGTGATGATGACGATGATGACGATGACATTGGTGCTGATGGTGGTATGGGTAAAGGCAGTCTGATGGAGCTTGCTGCTGCACAGCGCATGAACACAGACGTAAGATCCGTGCCAGAGGATGTTTGTCTTTGTGTGTGTGTGTGTGTGTGTGCGTGTGTGGCTGTGTATGTGGTTGTGTGACACGCACACGTACTCTTCAACCTTCCGAAGATGCGAACACTGCTTTGTGAAGAGTTTGAGACAGGTGTCTCATCTATTGGCTACATCTTTCCCCTCTCTTGTCCTCTCTTGTCCACACTGGTATCTGCTCGATGTCACCAGGAGAAAGCATTCAACCCGTACTACGCTGTGCTGATTCACCACCTGTGCCAGCACTCGTTTGCCCACAAACATACCATGAAGGTGGGTTATTGCGCGCATGTGTGTGTGGACATGTTTGCGGTCAAACATATGAATGGGCGGGATGCGGAGCGTGATCGTGGCACATTTCACACACACACACACACACACACACACACACACACACACAAACACACACACACACACAAATACACGCGCGCGTACATTTCACACACACACACACACAAACACACACAAACACACACATGTACACGTGACCACGCGCAGTTTTCGATGTGGGACCGGTTCAAGCAAGTTGAAGGCATGGACGCGACGACGGTGGACAACATGCTGCGTCTGCTCGCATTCGTCATCGCAAAGGGATCGCTCAACTTGAGTGTTCTGCGGGTAAGCGAAGCACGGAATGATGCCTGTTTGGTGTGTGTGTGTGTGTGAACGTACATGTGCATGTGTGTGTGTGTGAACGTACATGTGCATGTGTGTGTGTGTGTGTTGGTGGCTCGTGGCAATGTTTGCACGACATCGTATCGTGCTGTTGCTGTTCTTTTGGAACTCCCTCAACAACCACCAACCACGCGTGCTCTCGATCCACTGTCAACAGGCTCTGCCCTTCACGACTCTTCCGCCACATCTCGTGTCGATGCTGCGAAAATTCTTTGCCATTCTTCTCACACAGTATTCCGAAGGTATGTGCGTGTGTGTGTGTGTGTGTGTGTGTGTGTGTCTGTGTGTGTCTGTGTGTGTGTCTGTGTGTGTCTGTGTGTGTGTGCGTCTGTGTGTGTGTGCGTCTGTGTGTTGCTTTCCTCATATTGTCGTCCGTGCTGCCATGCACGCAAATTCATCGATCCCCCACTGCTGGAATTGCTGTCACGCCAACAACAGGTGCGGTGAAGAAAGTGTTTGAGGCGCTGAGCGGGAACGCCAACGCCGCCATCGTCAAGGACAGCATCGTCGTCTTCTTCGACCACTACATGACCAGAGACCAGCTCGAAGGTGTGTGTGTGTGTGTGTGTGTGTGTGTGTGTGTGTGTGTGTGTGTGTGTGTGTGTGTGTGTGTGTGTGTGGCTTTGCTTGGTTGTTCACTGATTTGTCTGATGCCCGCTTGCCATTTCGTGCTGACGAAACCACCCCCCCCCCTCCTCAACCCCAGGCGTCACCGATGACCCCGCACTGCTCTCCCAGCGGCTGAAACTTGCCAAGCAGAGTTGTATTCGTGACGAGTAAACGCACAAAGTAGCAAGTGGACATACACACACACACACGAACACACACACACACACGAACACACACACACACACACACACACACACACACACACACACACACACACACAAACACACACACATACACACACACACAAAGAACAATGTGCAGATGAAGAGCACAGCACGCCCGTAGACTGACACGTGCATCAGTTCCACACAAGCAATGGCACGGTGAAAATGTTGGGTGCTCTGCTGCTGTGCAGCAGCGATGTGAATGTACGTCATGACATGTAACAAACCCAGTCACAGCATGAATTGAAAGATAGAGTAAATTAACCTGGGCAGGAAACACGATACGTCAGTAGCATGGCCGCACAAGCAAAATCATGGGTTCTGATAGATTAAGTTCAATGTGAGCAGGAGTTAGTTCGAGTATGTCATATTTGCAAAATAAAACATCAAGGCAATTGTCGTCTTCGTCATTCCATTACTGCTTGCCTCCGCCGTGGGCGGCCTGTCCCCAAACCTGCGACTGTGGGGGTAGGCCTTGTTGCTCAGGGCCACCATCTCGGCGCCCTTGCGGCTGTGGCTGCAGTAGCTGGTGCGGCTGCAGCTGCTGCAGCTGCTGGTGTTGTTGCTGCTCTTGTTGGTGGTGTTGAGGCTTGCCAGCGCCAGTGATCGGAGGGCCTCCGCTACGCGTGCGTTGGGCCGGTGCAGGCACAGCGTTGGGTTGAAGCGTCGGGGGAAGCTGCGTTGGCGCGTGTGGCGCGGTGCCCTCGTGCGTGTCTGCTTCTTGCTGGATGCCTTGAGTCTCCCGTGCCTGTTGGGCCGGTGATGACTGAGGCCAGCGCTGCTCTTCCTCGTCCGTGATGCCATCCTCGATGCGGCTGAAGCAACCTGTGGAGAATGAAGCGTAGAGGAGGAAGGGGTGGGTGGAAAACAATGTTTGCGGTGAGCGAAAGTAACAGAGCGCAGGAGCGCGTCATTCATGCACACGCACGCAGACATGGGCCGAGGGCTCTTCTTGCTTGCCTAACACACACACACACTCACACACACACATACACACATACACACACACTAACATACACGCACGCACGCACGCACACACGCACATCAAACTCACCCCTTTCCATGTAAGGTTCTGCCTCAAAGTGGTGTCCGTTGATTGGCTGTGCGGCGTTGAGGTCTTGCATGACAGCGTCGGCCGCATCGCGGGTGGCAAACGCCACGTACATGAGCCCATCAGAGCCACGTCCGAGCACCATGCCGTTGAGGGCGTTGACGGTGTCTGTGAACTTCTCAAGTCCTTTGGGCGGCACGTCCACCAGGACAATGAACCCGTGGTATGGGTCCAGGAGTTGGAACTCGTCGCGGGGCGAGCGCTGGTCGTGCTCAGCAGCACCGCGCTGGCTCACAAAGCTCTGGAGCCGCGGCGACGCATGGGAGCGCACGTGATATCGACGGAAAGCGTCATACGCCATCAGGGCCGTGTGCGCCGAAATGAACTCAAGGCGAACGGCACCGTTGGCGAGCGTCTCGATGTGCGGGCAATCGATGCTCTCATCGGTCAACGTCCTCTCAGCGGCTTCCCTGCAAGGAGCATCGACGATGATCAACAGCTGGTGACAGTCCACATATGGTGCTGGGCTCATCTGGCCTGGTGAGTGCTGGTGCTGGTGTTGGTGTGTATCTGCTTGGTAGTGTGGATGCGGTGTTAGGGTGCTCTCGCTCCTTCACACGCGTGGTTGCGGCATTTGACGCTTGGTTTGTCCGGAGGGCCTGTTATTTGAACCACGAGCGGCAAGAGAGTGAGCGAGCGAGCAATCAGCGACGATATATGATGCATGCGAAAGCAATAACATCTGTCAATGTAAGAATGTAAACACAACGCGTGTTGAAGCACATGCATGTTTACAATTGCTGCGGTAGTGGGAGAAACAAACAAAAAAAAGGATGGCATGATCTCCCACCCCATTCGCAGCACTCCACCACCACCAACAACATGAATACAAAGGGTGTCCTTGTTGCAGGACCAAGCAAGGAGGGAGGACAGCCGGGCCACACACACAAACGTACAAAGGAGATGATCGGTGTCAGCAATCGAAGGGCACAGGGGTTTGGTTGGTTGGTCTGGTTGATCTGGGCGGTTGGGTGGGTCGAGTGTTGCTTCTGTCTTTGCAGCAAAGATGGTGGCACATCAGAAATTTCGCTGTGTTATCTATTATTTTTCTACAACCGCACTGAACCACAAGAAGATGCAAACGCAAACACACACACACACACACACACACACACAGACACACACACAGACACACACACACACACAGACACACACACACACACACACACACACACACAAGCACACAAGCACACACACACACACACAAGCACACAAGCACACACCATGTCCATCTCGAGTGTGTCTGCCAGTGAGTGGGCGCTGATTGCAGCCCACCTAGTGCCAAGTGAGGACGCCAGGGACGACCACCACCACGTGTCCATTCTTGATGAAGCGGACGTTGACAAGCGTGCTGCTCAGCAAGCTCTGGGCCGAGCGTTCTTCAACCTCATGCTGACGTGCCGCGAGCTGTACCACGACCTCCCGTGGGCCATGCCAAAGTGGTGCCTGTCACGCGTCTACAACGGGAACAGGGCCGAAAGGGCGATTTTGCACTGGCTCGACACGTTCCAATCGGACCTCCTGCCAGCAACCACAGCAACCGCAGCAGCCACAGCAACCGCAGCGACCACCAAGGCCACAACCACCAAGGCCACAACCACTGCGTCCGCGCCAGCTGGCAGCACACGCAGCCCAAGTTCATTGCCGAAAGAGAAAAGCGCCATGGAGGGCGTTGCGTGGATGGAGAGCCGCTTCCTTGCGCACTGCTGGCTTGGGGCAAAGTTTGACAGCAAGTGCACGTTCCTGCGTGCGAGGCTGTCAACGCCTACATCGCCTGAGTTCTGGCACTCGTTTGGTCTCTGCGGCCACGTGATGTTTGGTACCTTGAATGAGCTCAAGTCTTGGTCAGCAACGCAGCAACAACAGCAACACCAACAACAACAACGACAACCACAAGAACAACAGCGACAACCGCAACAACCACAGCAGCCACAACCGCAACAGCAACACGAGCACAAAACACACCAGCACCCACCGGAACACCAACGCCAGCAACGACAGGACGCAGTCCTTGTTCCGCAAACTGCTGCCGTCTCAACACCACCCAAGAGCCAGCAAAAGGCGTCACAAGGTCCCTTGGCTCCAGCTTTGTATTCTTTGAATTTGAACCTGACGCGTCAGGAAGACGTTGATTGCTTTCACCAGCTGCACACGAGGCTGCTCGCACGTGCAAGAGGAGACACCATGTTTGTGCTGACACGAGTCACAATACCCCTGCTAACGGTCAGCAACGTCAAGTACCTCACAATCAAGTCCTTCTCCAGGACCACAATCGACAGTCTCCACTTCCATGATGTCGAGGAAGTGGAGTGGCACCCAACTGCTCTCCAACGTGCGATTTGCGGTACATTCCGGCACACGCGTCACGTGACGCTTCATGTCCCCTTCAGCCTGGATGACATCGCCGCGCTCGCGGGCGTGCCAGAGATTGAATTGTGGAGCAGCCGCTTGCTACAGCTGGAGCACATGGACGAAGCGCAGGAAACGAACATCGACACAAGCGCAGCTACCGACGTCTCCCCACTGCGCGGAGCCCGACAGCTTGGCCTCCACGTCCTCCCCGTGCTCAACGAGGCGTCGTCCCTTGAAGCAGCACAACGAGTGAGTCTCACAGATGTGGCACTGACAACAAATCGACTCGCCAATGCCACCAGCATCCGCCTGGCAAACATGAAGGTGATGCCAGACGTGCTGCATCTTCCCAAGGCTACGGAGATTGAGCTTGTCGAGTCTGACGTGAAGCAAATCACGTGCCCAGCCCACCTTGACCGCCTGTATATCCACAATGGAGGCAGCGATGCCACCTTGCCAATCCCTTCGTTTGAGTTCGCCAAGGAGGTCCAGCTCAAGCTCTTCTCTCTGGCACGGGAGCAGCTGGCTGACCTTGGTAGCCGCGTCGACACGCTGGTGCTGCATGCGTGCGTCAGGAACATGAGCGACCTGCATGTCATTCCAGACCACGTGCACGTGTGCGTGTCGATGGGCATGCGCGAGTTGAATGTCGACGTCCCCGCACCACCGTGCGTGCAGGAGCTGCAATGCTTGAGGAGAGCTGATTTTCCTATCCACCATGTGGCGCACGTGCCACGCCTGACACTCCCCAGCACCAGTTCTGGCGCTCCCATCCGCGACCTCTATCTTCTCTCCAACCGCCAGCGCCTGTCGCTTGAAGGCTGTACCGTGGAAGGAGAGATCACGGGCTGTCGCAGTCTGTTCCTCCGAGCATGTCGTGGCGCTGCCACTGTCACCGCCACGCATTACTTGTCTGTTCTTCGCGGTGCGATTGCTTCGGAACAGGCGGGCGATGATGTGTTTCCCAAGCTTCGGCTCGCACGTGTGCGGGACGTGTCCGCGTGCCACCTGGACTCTTGCAGTATCCAAGACTTTGCCTGCATGCAGAACGTGCAGCGGCTCGTGCTAAGGAACTGCACGTTTGATAGCGTGGACACCCTCCCACCAGTGGCCTCACTTCGCATGCTCAACTGCACCACAAGTGACAAGGAGTGGGCGTGGCCATGGCTGGTCCTCATTAACCGGACTCCAGAGGAAATGCGGCATGTCTTGCTTGCAGGCAAGAAGCACCGGCGACGCTGACGGCGGCGGACGCGGTGGGGTTTGGCTGTGATGCGTGGTGTTGGGTTGTGGGTGTTGTGGTGGTGGTAGTGTGGTGCGCGGCTAGGAAGTCTTAGTGCAAGCGACCTTTGCTTGACGTGCGTTTGCTTTTGCTCATGGCCCTGTCATTGCTGACATTGCAGGGCGGCAGTGCTGACGCGAAGGAAAGGAGCTGACTGAGACTATTAAGCGGCGCCACAGGGTGGCGTGGTGGAAAGGGCGGTCTCAACCGCAACACACACACACACACACACACACACACACACACACACACACACACACACACACACACACACACACACACACACACACACACACACACACACACACACACACACACACACACACACACACACACACACACACAAAGGGCGTACATCTTGCGGGTTGATATTTCGTGTTTGTCTTTGCACTGGTGTTGAAACGATACACAAGAATGAGCAGGAATGAACGATGATACTACCAGCAATGAACAGAGTGAAAGAACGCGAGCTGGAGGACATGCAAACGTAGCAAACAAACACACAAACATGCAAGGTGAAAGCAGGCGCAATCAAGCAAAGTGGTGGTCCTTGAGCTCTCCAAACGACGGACGCTCACGCGGATTCTGCGCCATGCACTTGTACGTCAGCGACTGGAACCACTCGGAGATGGCTGTAGGATAGGTGTGCGTGTGTGTGCGTGAGCGTGAGTGAGGACGCGCAAGCAAGGAATCCAAACACGCTTACACACACACACGCACACACACACATAACTCACATAACTCACATAACTCACCATCCTGTTCGCTGTCGTCAAACTTGAGCCGCTTCCCATCCGCCATCAGATTGCTGATGGTGGCGAGAATTGGTCCCCGATACCCGCTCCCCTTCTCCTGCTCAATCAAATCAGGCACACGCTGGGTCGCCACCTCCCACATGAGCACACCAAAGCTGAAGACGTCTGCTTCAAAGCTGTACTTGTCGCCCGTCAATGCCTCTGGTGCCATGTACAGCGGCGTGCCCACGCCAGCCGTCAGCGTCATGCTCGTCATCGTCTGCAGTCCGGTTTGCTGGCTGTATTGGGGATCATCATTATGGCTGGAGGAGGAGAGACGAGTGCGCTGCTGATTGCTGTCACGCGTAAAGCACTGGCGAATGGACCCAAAGTCCGTGATCTTGGCGCGCAAGTTGGCAGAGACCAGCACGTTCCCACTCTTCAGATCCCTGCAGTCAGTGTGTGTGTGTGTGTGGATGGGTGAGGTGAAGGGAAAACGCAGCCGATGCCACACCAACACCACCTCGTCCCAACGCAATGCACAACACACACACACACACACACACTCACTCACTCACACTCACCGGTGCATCTGGTCGAGGCTGTGGATAAATGCCATGCCACTGGCAACGTCACGCAGCAGTCGCAGCTTCAAATCCCATGCAGTCATCGTCTCTGCTCTTCTGTCGCACCCTGTGCTCACCAACGTCAATTCTTCTTCATCCTCTGCAGTCACGCCTGCATTGTCTTCACTCCTTCTCTCCCCTTGCTCCACCTCCCTCAGGACTTCCCCCATATCCTTCCCCAACAGATCTTTCAGAGACCCCATGGCCACATACTCCAGCACCAGGAACGGGCTGCCGTTGGGGTCTGTGCCTGCGCCAAAGAACCGCACCACATGCGGGTGCCGTGTACGCTGCAGAAACTCCACCTCCTTCTCAAACTCAAGCACCATGCTGATATCGAAAGCCATGACGGCTTGCTGCAGCACTTTGACCGCCACTGTGACTGTGTCCCATCGTGCCTTGAACACCACGCCAAATGCGCCCGCAGCGACACGCTTGATCATCCTCAGCTCATCGAACCCAATCTCCCACACTTTCTTCAGCGCCATCACTTCTTCGTCCCTCTCCACCAGCAGCTGCTCCTGCAAGTCAATGCGCTTGGTCAGGCCCCGGTAGCGGCGTGACAGCCACGCCACGAACAGGCCAAAGAACAGCCCGCCAATCACAGAGCCAGCGGCGATGCCGGCAATGGCAATTTTTGGATCGTCCACCACGCACCGCCCACCCGACGCCATCTTGAAGCCGCGCGCACAGGTGCACCGGAAGGAGAACACGATCTGTGGCGTCAATATGGCCATGTCACGCACTGGTCGCAAGTCCTGGTTTGAGAGCTGAACTGCACAGTCGATTGGTGCATCAGTTAGTTGCAGGATGGGAGGAGTGGGGCGGTTTGGAAGGAGGACAAAGTCGGCCGTCCAATACTCTTCGTCTGACAAGACAACTGCTCTTTGCGTGACGCGATTGATCTCCTCCAGTTGACTGAGCCACTTGTTGCCAGAGAGATCCAGCACGTTCACTCTCTGGATGCAATTTGTGAGCGGCTCAATCGCCTGCTCGGAGCGGAAGGCCTTCTCATCCAAGTTTCGGGCGAAGAGGACCCGTCGTCCCCACCGCGTGCACAGCGCACCAGTTGGCGGAAAGTTGGTGTTGCTGATGTCGAGGGTGTCGATTGGAGGTGCATCAATGGAAGTGAGCCGGGTGCAGTTGGACACGTTAAGCTTCTGGAGTGGGCTGTGGACAATGATAGATCGCAGGTGCTTGTTGTCGTTGAGAAGGAGTGAGTCGAATGTCTTGTCAGGACATAGCTCAATGGTCTGGTAATCTGTGTGCGTGATGCGGAGCTCACGAAAACTGCTTGCCAGAAGCTTGCACACGGTACTTATTGGAATAGCGTCGCTGCTGGCGCCTGGCCAGCCCACGTGCAGCACATTGAGGCTGAGCGGTGGAAGGTGCTCGAATGATGGAACCACGGCACTGATATTGACATTCTCCAAACTGAGCGTTGACAGCCGTGCAGTGCTGGTGAAGCTGGTGTCCTTCAACACTGCTAGCGATTCTGTTCCGTGAGATGCGTCCAGCTCGAGCACTTCGAGGTTGGGCAGACGAAGAAGCGGCGCCAAATCCATGTGCTTGATTTCATGGTTCTGAAGTTGCAGAGTATCCAGAGCAGGTGTGTGCGTGACATGTGGCAGCTCCTTCATGGGGTTGTCGCTCAAATCAAGTTCGCGAAGGCGAGATAAGCCTTCGGGCAGTTGCAGTTTGGTGAGCTGATTGTTTTGGAGGTTGAGAAACTCCAGAGAGGACAGCTGTGCCGCTTCAAGGACGTTGTCAATGGAGCGAATGGCGTTGTTGGCAAACGACACCAGCCATAATTCTGGGTTGTGGGCGAACAGCGCTGTTGGAAGTGCAGTCAAATGGTTGTTGTCACACAAGAACTCGCTGAGGCGCGTGTTGAATTGCAGGAGGTCGTCAGGTAAGGCTGGGAGGTCGTTGCTTCCAGCAGACAGGGAAGTCAACGCCGTCAAGTTCTTGAACAGGCCTGGTGGCAGCGATGTCAGTCTGTTGTCGAAGATGCGCAGCTCTTCCAACAACGACAGGCCGGAGAAGACCGTCTCATCAAGGGACGTGATGAAGTTGTTCCCCAACGCGAGAGAGGTGAGGCGGGTGGTGCTTCGGAATAGTGTGGCTGGCAATTGGGCGAGGAGCGTGTGCTCGAGGTTCAGGTGATCCAGCATGGTCAGCTCAGCGAACATGTCGGGGTCAAGCTTCGTGATTGGATTCTGCTGCAGCTCAAGCTGTGTGAGGCTCGTGAGACCATGGAACAGGCCGGAGGGGATAGCACTGATGTCGTTGGCAAACAGAGTCAGTAGCTGCAGCTGAGTGAGGTCATCGAACGCTTGTGCCTCAATCTTAGAAATGAGGTTCTCGCCAAGGAACAGCTGTTGAATTAATGTCAAGCCTGTGAATGTATCATTGTTGATGCGACGGATGCGGTTTCCGTGTAAGCTGAGGGTCTTTAGCGTCGTTACAATGCCAGAAACGTCTGGAACAGATGTGAGGGCATTGTTGTCCAACTCCAAGTCGACGAGCTCATGTTTGAGAGCAAACCAGCTTGTGCCCACTTCCCGAAGCAGCACGCTGTCGTGTATCCAGATCGTGTCGATGCGCGCCATTGGGTTGAGCATGCTCAACTGAAAAGTGAGAAACTGCACATCCAGTACCGAGAATGAACGGCAGCGGGCCCACACGCCATTGTTCACAATCCACCGCAGCGGCGCTTCCTGCACGTGTCCGCTCACAGTCAAGTCCACAACAAAGGTGGAAATGGCTTGCAACGTGCTTGTATCCGTGCTGTTGTCCACGTCATCACTCTCACTCAGGGTGATGGTGAGCCATCCTCTATTGTCTGCGCCAGGACACGTGCCATTGACCACACTTGTCAGCGTGCATTGCCCCGCCCGCACATCAGGGTCATTATTCCGTCTCTCACGCCTGTGTTGCAACTGTGCTTCTTGTTGCAAGGGCAGGTTGGCCGTTGCGTTGCGGCGGATGACATTCACCCTCTCTTCCACGTACGTGGTGAACCTTGTACCTGATGGAGCGGGAGGTGCCTTGTGTTCTCCATTCTCAAGCAGCTCCAGTTCCCCACGACCGTCCCCATTTCGATCGCCACACCCAAACGCAGCCATCATGCGGTGAATCGGGGACAGGTCGACAAGCGAAGAGAGCACCGTGGTTTCGCGCGTCATTGTGTTTCCAGTCGTGTGGTTGTTGTTGTTGTTGTCGTTCCCCTTGTTGTTGGCACCGTGCTTTGGGAAGAACGGCACGTCGTGCACTTCCAGCACACGCACCATGCTGTCCAGTGTCCCGTGCACGTCAGAGCACAACTAGCGCAAATAAAGAGGCATGTGGTGAAGGTGCGTGTGAGGATGCAAGAGCAGGTAGAGGAGACAGACAGAGATAGTGTGTGTGTGTGCGCGTGTGTTTGTGTATGCACATTCACGTTCTCATGCAGCCGGACAGCCGGACAACCGGACAGCCGGACAACAGGACGAAATTGCAAACGCACCTTTTTGTCGCCATGAGCAGTGGTTGAGCGTGCTCGTGTACTGGGAACCCTGGTGACGACCACCATCACCAGCAGCATTGCCATAGCCGCCATCATTGCCCTTCGCATGGCGTGGCAATGGGTGGCAGCAGAGTGAGAGTCAGTGAGCTGAGCGTGGATGAAGTGAGAAGGATCTGAGGGTGGATGGAGGGATGGAGAATTGGAGATGGAATTCCTTTTCTTCCTCTTCTGTCCGCAAGTCATACACGGAAAAATGACAATGATACACTCAACTTTTCTGGCCCCTTTCGAATCCGAGGCGGCAACTTTGAAAAACACAAAGCAACAACACAAACAAAGCACACAAACACGATCACGCTGCTGCGTTGCTGCTGCATCGGTGATGGAGAGCAAGCGTGCCAAGCTTGCCAAGAAGAAAGCCTTCTTGGAAGGGGTGCATGCCGTGTTGACAAAGAGTGCTTATGAGAGCGCCGCACACGCACGGCGACGAGCCGCTGTCATCGCCAAAGCCGGCGGCACGTGCACCATGGAACCAACAGACGAGGTGTGTGTGTGTGGGTGCGCGCGCGCGTGTGCGTGCGTGTGTGTGCGTGTGTGTGTGTGTGTGTGCATGCGTGTGTGTGTGTGCATGTGTGTGTGTGTGTGTGTGTGTGTGTGTGTGAGCATGCGTGTGTGTGTGCGTGGGTGTTGCTTGCTCCACAACAGAGAACACAATAGAAGCGTCGCTGCGCCCATTGATTGTTCTGTTGCAGCTCACCTTCTTCTTACCATGCACACACGTACGCACACACACACACACCCCAATGCAGACCAACGTGGTGCTTTGCTCTGAGACGACAACAAAGGCAGAGGCCATGGAGCGCATCAAGCAAGGCAAGGACCTGGGCGGGAAGCCTCCACCAGAGGCAGCACACTGGGTCACCACGGCGTGGTTGACAGAATGTGTCAAGGCAAAGACATTCATTCCTTACGACTGCTTCACAGTACGTCATGCGTGTGCGTGTGCGTGTGTGTGTCTGTGTGTGTGCGCGTGTGCGTGCCTACGTGTGCCCACCTGTGTGTGTACCCTTCAATCCCTTTCGTCGTTCATGCAAACTGCAACCCATTTCCCTCCAACACACACACACACACACACACACACACACACACACACACACACACACACACACACACACACACACAACTGTGTCAAGGTTCGGAGCGGGGCGCCTGCGCCTGTTGGAGAGAGTGGTAGTTCAGCAGCAGAGACGGGCTCGCCATCACGACAGCCACTGCGGCACCGCAGCTCATCTGCGTCATCGACATCGTCCCAACGCAGCGCATTGCAGCACATCAACAGCAATGGCGACTACTTCCCCGCGTCCGGCAGCCCCAGTCGCACAACCAGCAACGACAACAACCCAGCACGAGCGCTGGATGTTGGCCCCATGTCCTCTACATTGACTGTGAACGACACGCACCCGCGTAGCAGCGAACAAACGGCGCTCATATCCACTGCTGGCGCTGCCACACACGCAACAGCGGCGGCGACGGAACCATCAGCATCAGCGTCAGCATCGGCGTCGGCATCGGCGTCGGCATCACAGCCATCATCTGCAACCCAGAGCCCGGCAGCGCTGGTTGCGCGCTCACAACGCGTCGTCGGCACATCACCAGAGGAGATTGAACTGCCGCCAGCGTGGGAGGCGATATACCACTGCTACAACTGCGGCGCGAAAGACCACGGCGCACGCACGTGCCCGCTCCCGCCACGGGGCACGCCCGAGAACACGTATGTGCCCGGTTTTCCCGGTGCGCGGAAGCGTGTGTCGCGCGAGTGGATGTGTGCTCGGTCGCACGGACACAGGAAGGACCGCCAGGGCGCCGGCCCAAACGACCTCATCATCTCCAACCTCGAGAAACTCCATGACACCTATGCTGACTACGGCACTTGGGTTGGTGTTGGGGGGGGGGCTGTTTCTGTCGTGCGGTTGTGTGTGTGTGTGTGTGCGTGTGTGTGTGTGTGTGTGTATGTGTGTGTGTGTGTGTGTGTGTGTGTGTGTGTGTGTGTGTGTGCGCGCGCTCATGGCTGCGATAATTTGCGGCCTGCACGAACTGTGCTCGTATGTTCCCACCCACTGACACACACACGCACGCACGCATGCACATGCACATCACATCACATCACAGTTGCACCAGCTGAAGGCGAGCAACTTGCACACGGCGCTTGCGTTCATTCGACGCATGAAGGAGCCCATCACCACATATGAGCAGGCGCGCAGGATCCCCAAGGTTGGCAACGAGACGGCAAAGAAGATTGACGAAATCCTCTCCACGGGCACGCTGCAGCGGTTAGAAGCCTTTGACACGCCCGAAAAACGTGCACAGCACGAATTCAGCCAGATCTACGGTGTGGGCACCGCGACGGCTAAGCAGTTTGTCGCCAAGGGCTTCAGAACCATCCAGGACTTGCTTGACAACCAGGTGCGTTGTGCGTGTGCGTTTGTTGTTGGGGCAGGTTATGTAGCAACTGTGCGTGCTCGTTCCTTTCCTTCACAGATCTTTAGCGCTGTGTTTCTCATTCCCCCAACACACATGCACACACACACACATGCACGCAGCATGAGCTGACGGAGCGTCAGCGCATTGGCGTGCGATTGCATCAGGAGCTGCAAGAGAGAATACCCCGGACAGAGGTGGACAGGATGGTTGCACATGTCAAGCACGTTGTCCTCTCCATCGAGCCCGGCTGCATCTTCGAAGCATGCGGCTCATACCGCCGCGGGAAGAAGGTGTGTGCGCGTGTGTGCGTCTGTGCGTACGTGCGTGCGTGTGTGTGTGCGTGTGTGTGTGTGTGTGTGTGTGTGTGAGTGTGTCTGTGTGTATCTGTGTGTCTGTGTGTTGAGGGGTTGCACGTCAAACACACTAAATCGTGTTGGCTGTGCTTGGCATGTCGTATGCCAACGCTCGCCTTCACACCATTAGGGCCCGATCTCTCTCATGAATATGTGCAGACGTGCGGAGATGTTGATGTGTTGATATCGCACCGGGACAAGCGCGTGTTGGACACGCTATTCAAACGCGTCATTGATGCGCTGCACGATGACGGATTCCTGACCCACGACCTTGCGCGCTCAGAGGGCGAATCAACACAGGTGTGTGTGTGTGTGTGCATTGTCAGTGCGTGTCACGATTGTGCTCGTCAGTCCTGTTTGTGTTGGCTGATGCACACACACGCCCGTGCTCATTCTACTCGCTTTCCACAAATAATCGCAATCGCAGTACAAGTACATGGGCATTGGCAAGCTCAAAGACGCGTCCTTTCATCGGTATGGTGTCACGTGTCTCGTTTTCATGTCTCGTTTTCATTTGTCTCGTTTGCATTACCTCGTTTGCATTGTCTCGTTGTAGGTTTCTTCCAATCAAGCACGCATCCCGCAGCCTTCTGCTCCTTCTTGCCCCACCCTCTCCTTCCATCTGCCGCCCTCATCCCCCTCTCATGCGTGCGTGTGTATGCGGTGTGGCAGCCGTGTGGATATCATCGTTGTGCCGTGGGAGGAATGGCCGTGCGCCATCCTGTACTTTACGGGCTCCGGCGCCTTTAACCGCTCCATGCGTCTCCTTGCACGCAAGATGGGCTGGTCCCTCAGCCAGGTGCGGTGTGATGAGTTTGTGTATGTATGTGTGGTGTATGTGTGTGTGTGTGTGGGGGGCAGACAACGCATGCTTGCGTCTCCTCGTCATGACTGGGCCTCAAAAAGTGCTGTTGTTCTCCAAAGATCTCACAAACTTAATGCACACACACATACGCACACACACACACACACACACGCACGCACACACACACACACACACACACACACGCACGCACACACACACACACACACACACACACACACACACACACACACACACACACACACACACACACACACACACACACACACACACACACACACACACACACACACACACACACACACACACACACACACGCGCGCGCGCGCACGCACACGTATCAGCACACGATCAACTACGGGGTGGTTCGAGACAGGAAGGAGAAAGACAAGAAGTTGGGGGACGGCAGCGTGATCCCCGTCAAGTCGGAGCACGACGTCTTTGCCCTCCTCGCCCTCAAATACCGCCCGCCCTGGGAACGCAACGCTTGAGAGACACAGCGAGGTGAACGTGAAGAGGTGAAGGCTGCTGGAGAATGGTGACATGATGGTGGAGCGTGCGCATCATGTGCGCATGCATTGTCAGCCGCGCAAACAAACACAGACAGCAGACAGATGAAGTATTGAACTTTGGTAAATGATTTTATGTGATTTTCGACGAAGCAAGCCCATACACAGACGGAGATGAGTGGAGCGGTTGTGGTTGAGGTTGGAGGCCTGAACACACGGGCGGGCAGGGCGAGCGCCATGCTGCCAGAGCATGTGTTGCCGTCCTGGGAGCAGAAGAGCAGCAGAAGCAACAACAGCAGCCGAAGCAGCAGCCGTAACGGCAAGAGCGAAGGTGCTGAGCGGGCGGTGGTGAAGCCCGTCGAGCATGGCATGGTCAACAACTGGGACGCCTTCGAAAGCATGCTTGGCAAGTCGTTCCAGCGCGTGCTCGGGCCCCAGTCGACACAGCCGTCAGCAGCTATGAACACAGAGGCGGACGCCGAGGCGGAGGGCGAGGGAATCAGCAGCAGCAGCGGCAGCAGCAGCAACAGTACAAGCATGCCACCGGTGCTGCTTGTGGACTCGCCAGCGTTATCGGAGAAGGACCGCGAGCGTGCGTGCGAGCTGGCCATGGAGAAGTTTGGGGCGCCGTCGTACTTTGCCATCAACGACCTCGTGGCCAGCGTGTACTCTGCGGGCCGCATCTCGTCCTACGTGTTTGACATGGGCTACGACAAGTGCAGCGTGGGCGCCGTGCATGACGGCTTCCTGTTCCCGCACACGTTCCAGACCGTGCATGTTGGCGGCGCACACGTGACACAATGCCTGCGCGACCTCCTGGCCGAGCGAACGCACGAGATCACCCTGAAGCAAGCAGAGGCAATCAAACTGGACCGCGTCAGAGTGCCGCTCGACTTTGCGCGCGAGGCGTCCCAGGCGCGGTTCAGTGACGACGACTCCAGCTTCGTCACCCTCCCGGACGGCCAGCGCGTGCCGCTGTCTGATGCCGGTCTCCGCGCCGCAGAGTCGCTGTTCCAGCCCATGCTGGCGGGGAAGCCCGGTATCGGGCTGTCCGACACGCTTGCCGACACGGTGAACATGTGCCAGCACGACAAGGACTACCAGCCGCTGCAGAACCTGCCGCTCTTCTTCCTCGGCACGGGCGGGGCGTCGCAGCTGCCGGGCGTGGACGAGCGCATCTACGCTGATCTTATGACCAACCTCATCACCACGTCCGCGTCAAAGCCCATTTTCATCAGCGCGTTGCAGCAGGCGCCAGACCGACACCACGCGGCGTGGATTGGCGGGTCCATCGTGGCCAGCTTGCCGCGCTTCATCGACAACAACTTTGTCTCGCGCGCAGAGTATGAGGAGGTGGGCGCCTCCGCCATCCACCGGCACTGCTGATGTGCACACACGCGCGTGCTGTGAGAAGGGGTAGGGGTTTGTTGTTCTGTGGTGTGAGTGTGAGTGCGTGCGTGTGTATGTATATTTGTGTGTGTGTGTGTGTGTGTGTGTATGTGTGCGTGTGTGTGTATGTGTGCGTGATGGTGTGTGTGTGTGTATGTACATGTGTGTGATTTGGCGGGTGGACAGCAGCTGGTTACACGTGTCCACCTCCACAGCACCAGTTGTTCAGTTCTACACGAGTCTGTATGTATGTTTGTGTTGCTATGGACCGAGTTGGGCTGTTCCCAATCACCCATGGTGGGAGGGTGGTGATATGAGTCGTTGTGTCTGCGGTGGCATCATGTGTGACAGCCAACACCGACGAATGCGTGCTTGCGTTTGCACCGATTACACGATTTGATCATGACATGTGTGCGTCTCCTGTGGACCTTGTACTGATGATGACCACACCTTGGCGGCAACAACACCACGCATCCACATAAGTTACAAGCAACACTGTTTGCAAGTGCACCACGGTATCCACGTATACACAGGCAGAGATAGAGACAGAGACAGAGAAAGAGAGACAGCGAGCGAGGCATGCGCACCCACACCTCCACACACACCCACACACACACGCACGCACGCACACGCTCACACACACACACACACACACACATTGAATAGAGAGTAACGTGCGACTAGGGGGCGAGGTTTGGTTGTTTCTGCTGTGATCCTTCGATGAGGATGACGCCCAGGCCCGGAAGATGTGTCCGGTACTTCACCGCAGCGGACAGGACACAGTCTGTCGCGGACGCACAGCACGAAGGGTGGTGGGGCGAGTGAGATGTGAGATGCGTGCGGTTTTATGTGTATGTATAGATTCGTGTGTGTGTGTGTGTGTGCGTGTGTGTGTGTGTGCGTGTGTGTGTGTGTGTGTGTGTGTGTGTGTGTGTGTGTGTGTGTGTGTGTGTGTGTGTGTGTGTGTGTGTGTGTGTGTGTGTGTGTGTGTGTTGGTTGCACTGCGGTTGGTCATTGGAACGCATTCGAAGCACCAACCCAACGCAACGCCAGCGTCCTCACCAGTGTCGTCGTCAATGCACGGCTGCGCGTCCCCGCGGTCAACTGTTTGCCATATCCTATCGCACGCGTCATCGAAGTTGCTGAACCTGTGGTAGCACAGCGGCGATTCGCAGTCGAGCGGAGGGACGGGACGCACAGGTGGGGTAAGCAGAACTCTCATGACACACGCGATGAGCCCGACAACGTCCGCACCGCTGGTGTTTCACGTGGTGAAAACCACACACAAAACTATACGTTTCACACACACACACACACACACACACACACACACACACACACACACACACACACACACACACACACACACACACACACACACACACACACACACACACACACAAGCACGTGCGTACCTGCATGTGGCGCGAAAGGCGGCGGTGCTGAGGGCGGACGGGAGATTGAGGGCGCGGGCGAGCGAGAGCTCCAGTGGTCGCGTCACATTCGTCGGGTTGCGCAGGAAGAGGACAAAGTCGCCGTCGAGCCACGAGCCATAACCGTACACCTAGTGGTGATGGTGGGGATTGTCGTGCATGCATATGCACACATCAGTAACGAAATGGTGTCGGTGGGACGATGGCAGCAAGCGTCAGAGTGCAACCATCAATTCAAGCAACCGTGAACCACTCACTTCATACGTCACCATCATCACAAGTCACCATCACCATCGACCACAAAGACCATCATTACCACCATCAACTCCCCAAAATCATCATCGTCATCATGGCTACCTCCAGTTCGACGGCATCGCCGCCAACCCAGCGCGAGTGCTGCAGCAGCGGCGCCCGCGCCCGCGCCCACTTGGCCGCAGCCGCCACCACGTCCCACGCCGCTGCATGCATTGTGTCCGGGCTGAGATCACGAAAGAACAACAAAGGTGAGAAGGGGGTGGGTGTGAGGGGAAGGAAGGTGGAGAGCATGGGATGAGGTGAATGGGAGTGAGGTGAGGATGATTGTGAGGTTGTGGTTGTGACAAGGAGCAGTTTGCCGCTCTGGGAGAGGGAGGCAAGGGAGGGAAGCATCAATTGTGGGGGTGGGGTACCGCTGCATGTGATTGCGGTCATGTGCGGAAAATCCAGGCCAAAGATCGCGATCTGCTCGCATGACATCAATTGCATGGGACTGCATGCGAGCATGGGTTTGGGCATGACTTCCATACCTGATGTAGAGCTCCTGCAGCTGAACGCCCATGGCAAAGTAGGACCACACTTCCTCCTTGAAGTGCATGATGTTGGCGACCTTGTTCAGATGCAGATGCCTGCAAGCACCAAGTTGCGTGCATGCGTGAGTGAATATGAGATGCTGCTCATCACTGAGACGGAGTGAATCGGGCGTGGCGCTGCAGGGAGTTCACAAAGCAACACGCAAGTGCAAAGATGCGAGAGCACACACACATACACAGACAGACAGACAGACAGACAGACAGACAGACAAACAGACAAACAGACAAACACACACACACACACACACACAAACACGCATACGTGCGCACCTGGCCTCTCCCACGGCGCCGGTGACAATGCCGTGGAGCATGAGCGCGCTGAGGGGAAACATGTTTGACTTGCTTACGACCATCTTGTGGACGACGGCATCGCGGTACGTGATCCACTGCTGCCGCAGCGACCCGTCGCCTGTGCACATACACATACATGCATGCATGCATGTGTGTGTGTGTGTGTGTGTGTGCGTGTGTGTATGTGCGTGTGTGAAAACGAAGTTGGTTGTTGAGCAGCAACCCAAGCATAGCAAACACAACCACAATCAAAAGCCAACAGCCAGCACACAATGAAGAGCAAGGGGTGATACAAGCGTCGGGAATCACACCATCCCCATCCCTCCATCATCGCTGCAGCGTTACCGTGGAGGCCGAGGTCGCCGAACCCGCGCCAGATGGAATCGCCGTACAGCAGCCAGAATGGCGACGGCCACATGCCTGCAGGCAACACCACCACCACACCCAAGGCAGTATGTGTGTGTGTGTGAACGTGAATGTGCGTGTGTGTGTGTGTGTGTGTGTTTGTGTGAATATGTGTGTGTGCGTGTGTGTGTGTGTGTGTGTGTGTGTGTGTGTCGTGTGTGTGTGTGTGTGTGTGTGTGTGTGTGTGAATGTGTGTGTGTGTGTGCGCGTGTGTTTGGGCCATGCGGCACGTGTCCAATTATCGGCAGGTGCATGCGCATATGTCGCCTTGTCACTGCACATGCACTCGCCTCCATCAGCTACTCATCAACAACCAAGTGCAAACCCCCAACTGTGCACTGCCTAACCTGTTGTCAAGTTGATCCACAGCTCCGAGTCGGACGCGCTGCGCAGCCGCTTCAGGAACGCCAGCATCCCCTCCAGCTGGCGGCACACAGACAAGAGTTGGTGTGTGTGTGTATGTGTGTGTATGTGTGTGTGTGTATGTGTGTGTGTGGAGGGGGGGGGGAGCAGACACTGGGTTTGATGATAGAGTGGGTGCGACTGATGTGGTTGTTGTGGCACGGAAGGTTCGGCCAACAGAAATACACACACACACACACACAGGCACACGCATGCACACACGCACAACCTACCTCTGCAGCGAATTCGTTGATGTTGCCGTCGCCAAAGCTGATGCCATCAAACTTGAACATGTTCACGCCAAACCGCGTCACCATCTCCAGCGCAATGGCCGTGAACCGCTCAAAGTACTTTGGGCCCGACAGCGAAAACCCAGCCTCGTTTGCCTCGTACCCGCGCTTGCGCCCATACGCCAGCCTGCAGTTGACACGCACGTGTGTGTGCGTGCATGTGCGCGTGTGTGTTATGTGCGTGTGTGCATGTGTGTGAGAGAACATGTGTGTGAGACAGTTGGTGCTCTTCACACGTCCAGTCGACCATAGCCACCGCAGTCGCAGTCACCACCACAACAACAACAACCACATTCATCATCATGATCACCATCACGACCACGACCACGACCACGACTGCCACCAGCACGACCACCAGCACCCACCTCTCCTGTTTTGCCTCGCCATATCCGCCCCAGGGCGAAATCCACACGCCAATGCCGCTGTTGAACCGCTTGGCTGTGGAAGGTCACATGGTAACGTATGTGTGGGTTGTGTGGATGCGTGATGTGTGATGTGTGGGGTGTAAGGCTGAATGGGGAAGCAAACAATTGTTCCCAAATCCTACAGCAAACACACACACACACACACGCGCGCGCGCGCGCGTGCGAACCTTCGGCGGAGACGGGCGTGAAGCCGTTCGGAAATCCGGCATGGAAGCTCCACAGTGACTTGGTGTCATCCCAACTGCGAAGCGTATCCAGAGCAACGTGCGAAGAACACTGTGAGTGGTTTGCACTTCGGCACGGGAGCTCACATACACTACAATGTTTTGGCGCTTTCTCCTGAGCCCTACTTTACGCCACCACCACCGCCACCACATCACCACATCACCACTATCACCACCACATCACCACTATCACCACGGGCGCCATTGCCCCTCACCCGTCGTCCCAGAGGAACGAGTCGAGCTGCACGCCGCGCTTGGCGACGAGCTCCCGCCCAATCGCAGCCACCCGCCGCACACACGACCTGCACCACGCCACAGCACCAACAGCACCAACAGCAGCGTGGTGGTGGCGTGGTGGTGGTGACAGATGAAGTGATATATGTGTTGTTGACGGTTGCAGTGTGGGTCGGTGAGTGGTGCACAAAACAACCAAGCAACAGCCAGAAGCGGGAAGTGTCTAACACAGCACCGCAGCCAAGAAATTTGCTCAACGGAACCATCGCATCACCCAGTGCCACACACACACACACACACACACACACACACACACACACACACACACACACACACACACACACACACACACACACACACACACACACACACACACACACACACACACACACACACACACACACACACACACACACACACACACACACAAATCACGCACGTGAAGGCGCCCGCAATGGAGGTGTACTGGCGCGACGTTGCGCCGACGGCGATACGGGGCAGACCAAGCACGCCGCACACAGCCATGTCGGGCTGCGACGACAGCCTGAGTTGCAGTTGTGTGTGTGTGTGTGTGTGTGTGTGTGTGTGTGTGTGTGTGTGTGTGTGTGTGTGTGTGTGTGTGTGTGTGAAGCGTGAGGCGGTTGGTTGGGTGGGGTTGATGCGAGCCACGTTGTCATCACTGCAACAGCGCACACACGCACACAGGATAATGCAACAGGGCGTACAAGCACGCACACAGAACAAACAGCATCACTTCTCCCCGCAATCATCAATGTCAGCGTCACCATCAGTTTCCCCTCTTTCCATCCTCCTTTTCTTTCACACATTCGCACCGGCCGTTTGCGGAGAGCGGGTGCTCCAGCGACAGAAACATGAGCGCATTGCGATGCACAAACGGCGACCCCCGCACAGTGCCTGCAGTGGTGTGTATGTATATGCGTATGTGTGTTTGGACGTGGACATGCGTGTGTCAATGAATTGAGTCAGACGGCATGCACACACAACACACACGCGCATTGCGTGTGCACCGCCGTCTTGAATTGCGATGCACACGTGCTCACCTTGGCCGACAACAGAGCCAGACCGGATCGCCAGCGTAATCAGATAACTGCATTGCATAACATCGTACACGTGGAGATGAGTTTGCACCAAGGTCAAAGCTCACACACACACACACACACACACACACACACACACACACACACACATACACACACACACAAACAAACAAACACACGCGCACAATAATGCCCACCAACAACGCAACAGCAGCAACAGCAGCAGCAGCAGCAGCAGCAGCAGCAACAGCAACCCACCTTGGTGTGAGGGCGCGCGTGATGGGTTCAAGCTGCAGCGACCAGCGTGCCACGTGCTCTGGCTGGTCGTGGATATCAGAGTGCCAGTGCACGCGAAACACCGTCGCATCGTCCACACGACACAGCAGCACCGCTGATGCTGAAGACACCCACACTGCGTCGTCCGAATATGTCAGCGCAGCATGCTCGCCCTGGGATTGTCGTGGTTGCGCCTGGTGCTGCTGCAAGTGGTGATCGCCCGCACCATCTTCTCTTGACTCACGCTCACGTGCATCGGGTGCCGCCGCGCCACCCGTGTCTTCATTGGGCCTGTGCGTGTTGCTCATTGGCGTGAGCGTCAGCCGCTGCAGGGCGCAGCAATCGAGGCTGGAGCACGTCGTGTCACCGAGCCCGACCTGAAACAGCAGCCCTTTGGACTCAATCCTCTGCCCTGTGAGCGTGTTGTCGACAAAGCTGAGCTGCAACGACGCAGGCTGCGGCTGCTGCTGCTGCTGCTGCTGCTGCTGCTGCTGCTGCTGCTGCGGTTCGTCTTTGTTCATACCCTCATGCGCCTCATCCCGTACGATGTCGTTTCCTCCTCGCTGCTGCTGCTGCTGCTGCTGCTGCTGCTGCTGCTGCTGCTGCTGCTGCGCGTGCTGGTCTTCTCCGCCGCCGTGCTCTTGGCTCCTGCGGAACTTGGCCCTGCCCATGTCCGTGTTCACGGGAACAACCTGCAGCCCAAGCGCAACGCCGTTGCCTTGCACCACCAATGATCTTGCGTGGATGGATGCAAAGGGCAACAGCACCTCATTCGCTGTCGATGCGCCTGTTTGCTCGTCTTGTGCACGCTGCTCTTGCGACTCCTTGTCTTGCTGTTGCTGCCATGGTTGTTGCTGCTCCTGCTGTTGTTGCTGTTCTTGTTGCTCCTTGCCTTGCTGTTCTTGTTGCTGCTGCTCTTGTTGTTGCTGCTGTTCTTGTTGCTCCTGTTGTTGGTCATGATCGTGCACAGCTTGTTGTGCGTTGCCACCATTCCTTTCATTCGTGTCACTCCGCTGCATGCGCTGCTGCTGCTGCTGATGCTGCTGATGCTGCGAACGCGTGCCATGATCATGCGGTGCACTCGTGTCCTTGTTGCGATGATCACCGCCCTCTCCTGGCTCAGACGGTTCAGATGGTGGCGGTGGTGACGGCGGCGACGGGGGATCCTTCGTGCGGGCAACGCGGTGCAGGTCCCTGTCTGAAAAGTGCACTGCCTCGTCCAGGCGCTCCAGCTGGTCCGCGGGCCTCTTCATGTGCGAGTAGCCCGTGATGCTTTGCGTGTTGTGCAGCGCCATGTGTGTCGACAACACCGCCAGCAGGTACACCACCAGCGCAAACACCAGCACCCGCATCCCTACAAACCACAGGCATCGCGCAGACGACCTTGTCCCCGCTCCACCACCAACAGCCATCGTCGCTGTTTCTTGTGTGGTTGTTGCGCCGCTGATTAATGTGTGCAATTACCGCTCTGGATTTGGTGTGACGAGCACCAAGGCCATGAATTGTTGTTCTGTGGCAGACGCAGACGATGCTGTGCGTCGTCGTGCTGATGGTGGTGTGCATGACTGTGTGTGGATGTGCAGAGTTGTCGGTGCGGAGGCTAGAGGAGAGCAGGAGAGAGAACACATGCGTGTGTTGCCGGTGGTGCTCCGGCGTCCACACCCGTGCCTTGTGGGCATCTGCTTCTTGCTGCTTGCCGTTTTGACCTCTCCAGCTCCGGTAACAGCAGTCAGAACAACAGCGGCAGCACAGGTTGACCTGTGCTCACGGGTCGACCTGAGCTTGGCGCACATCATCCACACCCTGCACGATTCCGGCGCTGTGATCATCGACGACGCCTGGCACAAGCACTCGCCTCCAGCGAGTCGAGCACAGGCCAAAGACCAGCACACCACCTGGCCTGGAAGCCCTCGTTTTGGTGCTGCTGCTGCTGCTGCTGCTGGTGGTGGTGGTGGTGGCACAGCCGCAGATGGCGGCACGACAAACAACCCCACACCGCAGCCGCACGTCGACATTGCTCCCATTCAAGAAATGATGCGGACGCTTGGCTGTGACAGAAGCCTTGATGGCCGTGATGGCCCAAGCCTTTCCGCCCTCAGCATGCCCCTCCACCGGGTGGCAAACGGCACGCCTGCACAGGATGAACAGGAGTCCGTGAAGCCTGCACCCACCACGCGCCCGCGTTCCCAACGTGCATGCAGGCAACGCAGGAACGCAGAGCCACCCTCAGCCATGCTCACAGGGGAGTGCCCGATCCAAGCCGTCGTGAACGGCACGTGCGCCGGAGCGGACGACAGGGGGGTGTTGCACATTGTTGTGGAGAAAAACCCCGACCAACCCGACGACCCCATCGCACTGGACGAGAGCACCAACGCCGCCACCCTCCTCGCCATCTCCGTCCCTGTAAGGCACCTTGTCCTGCGCAACAATATCAGCAACAGCGTCTTGACCTGGGTCCTGACCAATGGCAACTGGGCCAACCTGACCCGGCTTGAGCTGCGGGGTTTGGAGCTTGACACCCTCGACTTCCGCAACTTCAACGCACTGCCCAGCCTGGTGCGCATCGATGTCTTCAACTCAGCCTCCGTGTCGCGCATCAGCACAAAGGGATTTCGCTTCGCGTCCCAGCTGCAGCGCCTGCACCTTCGCAGCAATGACCTTGCCACACTGGACCCAGACGCCTTTGACCTCATGACTGCCCTGTTCAGTCTGGATCTGGGCGTAAACAGGCTGCAGGAGCTGCCACCCAACATCTTTCGGCGGCTCACCGCCCTCGACCGCCTCTTCCTCGACTCCAACCTCATCTCGCACGTGCCAGCCGGCACATTCCACCCGCTGACGCAGCTCACCTTCCTGACGCTGCGAGGCAACGACCTGACCCACGTCGACAGCGACATGTTCACCCGCCTCCACCGCGTGCACCACTTTGTTCTCAGCGACAACCCGATCCGCACCATCCAACCCGGCGCCTTCAACAACCTCACCAGCATGCGCAACTTCGAGTTGAGGGACACGCTGGTGGCACGCCTACCGCCACACCCCTTCACCTTCATGCAGCGCCTCACGGCACTGGAGCTCTCCTCCAACACATTGACAGCGCTGCCCGCAGACGTGTTCCACGGCCTGAGCCGGATGACCCGCATCCTGCTCAGCCACAACCGCATCACGTCTCTCCACCCGCACACCTTCCGCAACCTCACCTTCCTCAAGTCTGTTTCCTTGGACAAGAACAAGCTGACCAGCCTTCACCGCGACTTGTTTGTCGACGCCAGGCATCTCAATGTGCTCAGTTGCCAGTCAAACCTCCTCACATCTCTGCCACGCGACATCTTCCGCGGCAACACGGCGCTGCGCTTCCTCCTCCTGGGCGCCAACTTCTTCACATCCCTGGACGGCGTGTTCGACGCTGTCACGGACCTGCGTGCGCTGGCGCTTGAGCGCAACTTGCTCACGTCCATCCACTTCGACGTGCCCCTGCCCCAGCTCGTTGGCATCACGCTCAATGACAACCGCATCACCCGCCTGCCCAACCTCGACGTGATTCCCCGCATCAACACCCTCAGCCTCCGCAACCATCGCATCCGAAACATCCCCATGGCTGAAGTACTGGCCCACGTCAGCCTGCGCGTGCTTGAGCTCGTCGCCGCACCGGACGTTGGCTCCGTGGCCCACCTTGACCTGGACGCCTTCCAGCCCGACCTGTCCACCATCCGTGTGGAGACGCTGCGGCTGGGCAACGTAGACATCACGCCCATGCTTCCCATTGTGGACGCCCTGACACGCAGCAGTACTCCTTTGCAGCTGGAGGTCCTTCAAATGGGCTGGCCCGGGCTCGACGAGAGTGTGCTGCCGTTGTCCACAATCTGCACATTGCTTGCAAGCAACGTGGAGGAGCTGGGCCTCATCAACACGGGCTACCGCTCCCTGGACCTGTGCAGAGGCCGGAAGTTCAAGTCCGTCTTCCTGCAGAACAATCGCCGCCTGCAATCGCTTTCCATCCACAGCAGCCTGTCCCACCTCAACGTGTCCGGGTGCCATCAGCTGACACAGATGACAGCGCCGACAATCGACATTCTTGACATCACCGGCACGCGGTTGCGCCCCTCCTCTGCTCTGTGCAGGCGTTGGGGTCGGACGATGCTCTTTGCCAAACGCATCTCGGAGGACCTGTTCAACACGGTGCATGGGCTGTCCACACTTGCAAGGTGTCTAGCAACGCTCAGCGTGCTCGATGTGTCGGACAATGCGTGGATCGACAACGCACGCGAGACGGAGAGCAGCATCGGCGTTGTGACGGCGCTGTCAGACGACGCGCACCTCGACGTCAACGGCTTTGTGGTCCCGTTTCGACCCAACCCGCCCCTGTTTCAGCTCACAAACGCGGCCATCCAATGCAACTTGGAGCTGAGCAGCGAAAGCTTGCACCAGGGCGGGGCCACATCCCCTGTGATCGTGTATGCGTTCCGTTGCACGTGCGCACGCGGTTTCAAGATGACGTCAGGTGGGCGGTGTGTGTTCGACGAGCCAGATATTGCCGGCATTGCCGCTGCCTCCGTGATTGGCGGCCTTGGCATTGGCCTGCTCATGGCGTGGCTGTCACGCCGCTACCGTGGCCTGACCAAGCGCATCGGCCTGCAGGAGCAGCTGCTAGTGGAACGAGACGAGGAGGTGATGGCGCTGAAGAAGGCGTGGGAGATTGAGTACGATGAGCTGAGGATGATCAAGCGTGTTGCTGCGGGCGCGTTTGGCGTTGTGTTCAAGGCAGAGTGGGACACAGTCACAGTAGCAGTGAAGGTGCTGCAGCAAGGGGTGATGATGTTTGACGAGAGCACGGTGTTGGAGTTTGAGAAGGAGGTGGAGTTCCTGCAGCGGACACGTCATCCGCACGTGGTGCGGTTCTTTGGCGCGGGGACAGACCCCAACGGCAGCCCGTTCCTGGTGCTGGAGTTTGTGGCGATGGGATCACTGAAGGACCTGTTGGGCAAGGACATGGAGCAGGTGCTGATGGAGGTGGAGGCGCGGAGTACTGAGGGCGATGGTGAGGACGATGTGCTTGTGGTGGGAGACACAAGCAAGGAGGGTGGTGGTGACCGGGTGTGGGCACTGAAGCTGCGGCTGCTGCGTGACGTTGCGAGCGGCATGGCATTTATCCACAGCCTCGACCAAGTGCACAGGTGTGTGTAAAAGGGGGGTGAGGGTGTTTGGGGTGGCGTGTACGTGTGTACACGTGTGTGATTGTGTGTGTGTGTGTGTGTGTGTGTGTGTGTGTGTGTGTGTGTGTGTGTGTGTGTGTGTGTGTGTGTGTGTGTGTGTGTGTGTGTGTGTTGTGTCGGGCATTGCGTTGGGACGAGGTGGTGTTGGTGTGGCGTCGGCTGCGTTTGCTCTTCACCTCACCCATCCACACACACACACACACACACACACACACACAACACACAACACACAATACACAACACACAACACACACATACACACACATGCACTGAGTGCAGGGATCTGAAGAGCGGGAATGTGCTGGTGTCGGCGCGGCTGAGAGCCAAGATCACGGACTTTGGATCCATTCGCCAGTGCCTCGCTGGCGGCTCTTCCGCTTCCTCCTCATCCACGACAGCAACAACAGCAACCACGGCCATGACAGCAGAAGCAGCAGCACATGCTGATGACCTGACGTACTCGCAGGCGGCGGGCACGGCGACGATGAACCCGAGCATGACGATGACGGCTGGTGTGGGGACGCCGCTGTACATGGCGCCGGAGGTGCTGTTGGGCGACAAGTACAACGCCAAGGCAGACGTGTTCAGCTTTGGGGTGCTGATGTGGGAGGTGGCAACGCAGCGTGTGCCTGACTTGATTGAGCAGGAGAAAGGAAGCGACTTCCGTGGTCCCATGCTTGCCACACTCAGCAAGCTCTTGCAGGACGGGAAACGTCTCGAGTTTGCTTCTCGCGGCGGCACTGGCGACGCTGCTTCGACTCGTTGGTTTCGCGGGACTGTTGATCTGCGTGCCTGTCCCCAAAGCACACTCATGCACTTTCACGCACATGCGCCAATGTACATAGAATGTGCATGCAAACACACACTCATCAACACACAACAACCACACACCCTCCGCAGTTGTCCGAGGGCCTTTTCTACCATGTTAGCGTCTCCTCACACACACACACACCCTCTGTTCACATCATGTTGCGACGCAGGTCCGCCCTTGGTGTTCCATGAGCTCGCTCGCCAGTGCATGGACAGGCTACCGCGTGTTCGCCCCTCCTTTGAAGAGCTCTGCGCTCGTCTCTGAAGACGTTACACACCTCTACACCTGCTTGCCACATTGTACATGTGTGTGTGTCTCGAAACGCTTCGCAGTCCAAACACGCTGCGCTGACGTCAGTTGCCGTGTGATGAGTCATCATTGCTGTTTGACAGTGTCGTTGCTGTGCCGTTTTTTTGTTGCTTCTTCGATTTTGTTTGTTTGCGCTGCGACATCGCGTCGCGTTCTGCACACAAACACAAACATAAGCACTCCCCACCACCACACCCCCCTTCTGCACCAAGAACGAGCGCTTGTCTCCTCCCTCTGTCGACTCTCGTGTCGCTGACTGTGCTCAGAGCAAGCAACAGCTGTTATTCGCCAATACAAAGACACATCGGCTTGACTTCCTGGCTTACCTTGGAACGTGTGTGTCGCTGTAGTTGCTGTTGTTGTTTGTTCTCAACCTTCTCCCCTCCTCTCACAAGCCCATCGATTGCGTGAAAGATGGGTGGTGATACGTTGCACGCTTGTTGCCTGCAGGCATGGCCTTGGCAAGCGTGCCGTTTCATGTTGCTTGCTTGTCTCGTGTGGACTGTGACGCTGCCGACAGCGATGGCCGCGACACGACTCAGCAACGAGCAGCAGCAAGAGGACAAGCAACCCTCGCTTGCCTTCCACGACTTTTTCCCTTCCACAGACACTGCCACCTTCTTTGACAGCATCTATCAGCATGACACCTTCGTGGACTCGCAGCCGCACGGCAACGCCCCTCAGCTGCTGTCACCGACCATGCGGGATGTCGTTGCTCCACTTGCTGATCCCCATGCACTTTGTCAGCACCACTTTTCTCTGGACGAAGAGCAGCGCAAACCCAAATCCAAGCACACTGCTCCTTTCCAGGTGTCTGTGTATTTGCTTGTGTTTGCACGCGTGTGTATGTCTGTTTGCTTTGTGTGTGTGTGTGTGTGTGTGTGTGTGTGTGTGTGTGTGTGTGTGTGTGTGTGTGTGTGTGTGTGTGTGTGTGTGTAATATCTTCGCGATTCAACAACCTAAGCCATGTCGTACCACTACATTTGCTTGCCGGCCACATTTCACCTCACCATCTCATCACCGCTCTTTATCCTCTCCCTCCCCGTCCCCACAACAGATCAAGGAGCAAGGCGAGACGCGGCAGGTGTCGTCATGCAAGCAGATGGAGGACGAGCTGGCTGCCGGTGCTGGTTTGCTCATCCGCTACGAGGACCTCGTGGACTCCCCCGCCCAGGACCACGTCAAGCAGCTGCAGGACGGCGTGCGCGACGTGTTTGGCACAGAGTCCACCGTCCACCTGTACCACGCCACGCAGAACGAGTCGCGCGCCCTCATGCCGCACACAGACCCCTACGACGTCCTTGTCATCCAGCTCCACGGCTCAAAGCGCTGGACAACCTGCATCCCAGACGCATACGTCTCCGACACCGACACCAACAACGACGGCAGTGGCACCAACGCAGAGGACGACGACAACACCAACACCGGCACTGGCGACCACGGTGCTTCTGCTTCTGCTTCTGCTTCTGCGTCGTCTTCCTTCCCAAGCCACCATGGCACACGCGCACGCCCAAGTGAGGCAGAGACCATCAAGCACTTCAACCCTGCGCAGCTGGGCCAGCTGCAGGAGATCCGGCGCCAGAAGCAAGAAGGGTGCACGCGCTACGAGGACAGAGACCTGCGTGGCATGCGCTGCACCGAGTTCACGCTGCGTGCCGGCGACACCATGTACATGCCCAAGGGCATCATCCACTTTGCGCTGTCGGGCGAGGAGGGCTCGTCACATCTCACCATCTCGCTGGAGCGCAAGGGCCTGGCGTGGGCCGATGCGCTCATGCACGCGGCGCTCTCTGGCTCGGACATTGTGGACACCCGGCGTTCCTTGGTCACTGGAGAAAACACGGTGCAGTCGCTCGTCA